TTTTTTTTTTTTTGCTTTTTTGTTCAATGAAATGGTGGAACAGTATCGCTGTCGCAGTCGATGATAGGTTGCTGTAGGATTGCCCTTAGGGTCGGGATAATCTTCAATAACTGACGTTTGTATGTGACTTTTTTAAAATTATTTTTGGCCGCCTGAGGATTTAATGACCGTTTTTAATCTTTGCTTCTCTCGAGAGATTCGTTATAAAGCCATGTTGATGATAAATCGGTTGAAAGACTGCTACACTGGAAAAAATGAACATGAGCTGCTTAGCACAGATTTGGCGTCTTATCTCTGTTATGTTTGGGGAAGATGGAATAGTTTCTTGTTGTCTGCGTGGACTTCGCTGTTACATGGCTTGCTTAACTTACCATATTTCATATAAATCTGTTAATTGTCATTCATTTTCAAGGGTATCTCTTTATCCGACTCAGTTCAAGCGCAGCTATCATGCACCATCTTTCGATATCAACGATATCCATACAGTCGACCGGCTGGTTGAAGGCATGTTTTGCTTTGTGAAAACGCCCCTTCCCTAAATCTGGATCTTCTTTTTGTTTAGCTAATGTTTTTTTTTTTTTTTTTTTTTTCAGAAAACCTCTACAAAGAGCTGTCAAAATCAGATTGGAATGTGCTCCTTGCACACTTCCTAGGCGTTGATCATTGCGGCCACAAATATGGTCCCGATCATCCGGCAATGGCTCGCAAACTGAAACAAATGAATGGAGTGATAAAGAAAGTGCTCAAGTACATAGACAATAGAACGTTGCTGGTGGTAATGGGCGATCACGGAATGACCGAAACTGGTGACCACGGTGGTGATGAAGCACTCGAAACTACCACTGCCTTGTTTATGTACTCAAAGAAACGGCTGCTTTTTGCGGATCCACCACATTCAGTGTCACAGGTTAACCTTTTTTTTTAATATGTCCCATTTTATTTTCATACAGACATTATCTTACTGCGTGTGCATGGATTTCTGTGAGTGTGTATGTTTGTCTGTTTGTGTGTGTGTGTGGGAGGGGAGGAAGGGGTGTGCGTTTGTGTGTTTATTTTGGTTTTTATTTTTTGAAAGTAATGTATTCGATTGAAATGGAATGAGTTCTGTTTCAAAATAATGATTTTGATTTGTGGTTTTCACACTGATTTCGCTTGCCTAAAACTTTAGATGTGTGAGTTCAGTATCATATTTCCTGTCTGTGACGGCGTGAAATTTTGGTCGATTTGTGGCTCTTTTGATTTCTCAGCCTCAAATTTTTGCAATTCCACGTCTTCCACACGAGGGATTTTACATGTACATAGCTAATTTGCAGCAATAAACTAAGCATATTGCTTCCCAGAAAGTCTAGCACCTTCATAGAAATCTCACGTTTCTGGATTATTCATTCCAGGTGGACATCGTGCCAACATTGAGTCTGCTGCTGGACATGCCAATTCCGTATTCGAGTATTGGGACGTTGATTGATTGTGTCATCGATCCAGAACATCGATCGGTGGCAATAAACAGTAATGCGGAACAAATGATGCGCTACGGGCGAACGGTTGTTGCGGAAACAGAGTTACCCGAGCTGGATTTGCTAATACGTGAATTCGAAACGAACGGCAAC